TTACACCGGTTGAGTCAGCATTTCCAACATATTCTTCTTCTCTCTGATGGAACGGCCCCTGCTCATCTTCATGCATAATGACACCGGCTTGGACTGCTCTGTGTATACATTCCTCACCATAGGTGAAACGCCATTGGGTGAATGCAACATTGCATGTTGGTTGGTCCATGGTTAACTCATACATGAATCAAGGACCAAGTGCTTAAGTATCACAACCTGCAACATATGAAGGGAGCGGGGGACATTAATTAATCACGATTTGCGTTAATACGTATGTGGCTGGTTTTGGCTTCACTGAACAGTGGAAACATTGGGAAATGCAACTTATCATAAGTGCGACAGCACACGTTTGACTGTAATTCAATATTTGAATCAATGAATTGATATCCCAGACGACAGAAGTATCATCGCTGGTTACCCGTGTGAAAATCCTTGTTGAATCACAGTGATAATGAACCAACTACCTAGGAGTAGTCTACTAGATGAGATGGCAACAATCATAAGTACATAAATTTTAAGATGAAATCTTTATTTATTAATTTTAATGTGAAGTTCGTTATGTGAGGAGCAAGTAATGCCTTCGCTGAAAAGCTGAAAATCAATGGACAGTTCTTTCCACCTGGTTGGGTTTCATCAGCAGGATCAAGGATATTTTTGATTGTTCGAGAAATGCATCACTGTTCATGCGTTACTCCGGTTGAAGGATAAACTACACCATTGGAGTACCGAACAGCTAACTATGCATCCTTGGCTATACTCCCCTATGTAGGCACTATGTCTGATAACGCACTGAAGTTCTTGAGACATTAGTCCTCTGTCTTACATATACACCATGTGAGCTGCAGCTTCGATTCGTCTCACATCGGTGGGCGTACGGAAAGTGAACAATGTGTAAGCGCCGTGTCGTCCCGGAAACCACTTAAGAAGTTATTCTAAACAATGGGAGATATCTTGAATAGAAACCGATGGATAAACGCGATCGTTAATGACGTTTGACAATATTAGCTCGTTCAAACCTTTTCACCAGGTTGCTCCTCAGACACGGTGGATCTCCATTGGGGTACGTTATTGCTGTTATCATATCACTGGATTCCATTACAGTGATGTTTCCAAAACCGTCTTCGATGATCATGCTTGAATAACGGAAAAATTGGTCCATCGATCTTACTGAGTACCAAACGAACTAAAAGGAATCTGTGGGTACTGCACAGTAGGAATTCCCCATCTATCTGACCTTCAGAATCCGTGACTTCCACTCAGGTAACGCTAAAGTACATTTGGGTTCGGTTAAACTGAACTATTCCTAGCTGGTGGTATGAAGCAGCAGGACCAAAGTATATCGGGGGAGAAGGAGCTTAGGCCACTAGCCAGATTACCGATTTTCTATCCCTCGCTTTGTTCACTGAGAATGGAACGCTAATTCCGACCCAAAAGATTCGATACCCGAACACTCCTAATTCCTCAAAAATATGGAGGCACTGGTTTTGTCCTTCGACAGATTTCTTACTAAAATTGGGATTGAGGATCCTGAAAAATTGGATTTTCTCTACAATTGCATTTACCCAAGTATCTATGACCATGTTGCGGATTGCACATCGTGATACTGTAAAATCCCTGGAAAAGCTGTTTATCAAACCACCAAATGAGGTGCTCGCCCGGTATCTACTGGACACCTGCAAACAGGAACCAGGGCAAAATTTCGATCAACTATTTCATAAGCTCAAACCTTTGGTCTAGATCTGGGGCCTTTGTTTTCTCTCTGTTTAACGGCTGATCAGAGACTAGGCCACATAGGCCCCGTTAGGCTTCCTGGCTGAGGACCTAGGAATGATGGTCCCCTATGGTTAGAGACACAGTGATATGAATGTGTGTCACGAACAGTGACGCTCGTGCACCCACCCATTATTCTCCTAATACTATTCTATATGAATTTTCTATCTTCTGTTTGAATTTGCTTTCAACTTTCCAATCTTCCTGCTTTTTTATCCAAATGGGGCACCAAAAGACAGCAACCGAAACCGGTGCACGAAAGTGCATGGTTAATGGTTGTAAAAACTGAACTAAACTGAACTGTAGTGTTAAGTATGCATTCATTGGTTTATCGCTGCACTCAGTGCTATTATTCTCGGTACTTCGTTAGCCTTAGCTGCTTTTTGGATAATCTGTGTATCTCGTTTTCAAATAACATTAACAACTGACCCACTGATTGATTTCTCCCTAAAGAGGTGTTTTATTACGTCTACTCGAGTATGCCCTTATTAGTTTGAACTATCATATTTACTAAATACCAGTAACTATTAAATTGACTATACATTGCCAAGTTGGGTAACAAACCGTTTCTGTCGGATGTACAATCATCCTTAAGAATTCTATACTTGAGTCATATAACACTCAGCGTATTTCCCTAAATACACATGGATCATAGAGATTTATTTGAACACTGCATTCCTTAACAGTGGAGTCGAGTTGTTTCCAAATCGTAACATGTCATTTTCCAGCAAGAAATAAGCGGAGAGAGAGGATAAAATTCAACAGTCGCGGAATAAATATCAGATGGTATAGTTGGTCACCTGGCAGTTAGTTTACTAAAACCCTAGCATTACATGCAAAAACTAATCAGTTGATTGAAATACTCAGTCGCATTGAGTTATTCTTTCGGTTTCCTGCCCACAGCTGTGAACATGTGGCTGCCATATCAATGGATTTGCACCTAAATCCTAACACTATTGATCACTCATCTTATTCTCACCAGAAACTGCTTTCCTTTTTAAGGCTAATTTGCGCAAGAAAGCCACCAGCTCTGTGCAAACAATTCTGAGTAACTGGCGACGAGACAACGGAACTCAAGTCTATTTACTGAAGTAAGTTAGCGTTGTGACCTTGAATAAATAATGACCTCTTTTTTGACGGTAATGTTACATTCCTTGTTGTAATATTCCGATCTCGCTGTACGGGAAACTATTTGCTTGATCGATATGTGATAATTCTTGATTGCGAGTAGGGACCTAAGTTTGGTAAGCAATGCAAATCAAACCCAACAGTTTTTCAAACGAAATATACCGCGATAGTAAGGCATCGAACAGTTGGACAATACAGGTCTAGGTAGAACGAAAGTTCATGCAGTTACAGGACGAAGAATGAAGAAAAACGAGAGTTTCGACAAAAATGAGTTGGGCAGATGTTTGAACAATGCACTGAATCATGGCTCGTCGCTATTGGTCCAAATAAAAACTACAGTTTATTTCTGTCAATATATTTTATATTCCTATGCTATATTTGCCTTGACATAGTGTTCGTGACTTATCTAATGGTTTAATCAAGCAGATTAAATCGTATCGTTTTAGCACATCGGGTCAATAAATCCCGAAGGGATTGGCTGGCTTTAAAATAGTCAAAAACGTCCGTTGTGATGTTTTGGTAATTTAACAGTTAAAATTTCAATTTGCTCGATCCCACACCATATTTCAGGTGTTCAATTTTTGTAATCACTTGCTTCCAGTCATATTCCTCAAAAATTCTATAATAATTCATTTATTCATGCTCAACGGATTTTGCTGCTTGAGCAATCCAATGTCTCTAAATAGATGAATTTCAAGCAGGTGTTTGGTATTATTCAACTTGTTCTCTCATACGTGAAGATTCATCGTTCAATGTTGTGTCCGTTACATTAACCCGAGTAGCTGTTGAATCGCGAATGAAGTTGCTGCACGAATGCGAGTCTCGGTTGGCGTCTGCCAACCTGAGATATCCTTGACGAGGTGGCGAATCTGGTTTGTAGCATGTAGCCGCCTTGTCACTCCTGCCTTCTAATGACTTAACCTTTATAGTAATTTATTTTAGTTTATTGCGGCTGAATTCTTGAAAAGGATAAGCCAGCTCCATGCAATACATGCCTTTTCATGGGAGTTTGATAAGAGAGACGTCCTAAACACCACTTGGAGTTTATTTTGAGGGCACAACTCTAACCTGTGCAAAGTAAAGTTCAGACTGCAATTCAGTAGTGTTTTGGTGCACAGTTATTGGAGCTTATTGACCATTCGGTCGATGTAACTGCAACCCGGGAGTTCATGTAAAACTGTTTGTCGAATACTGCTTCCTTCATATCTGTTTGATCAGGTATTAGATTCCCTCCAACCCCTCCAAAGAGCAGCAGCCTTCGCATGCGTAAGCGCTCTCACTACAGCTTTTAAACCACGGCCACACACAACCTGTTTTAGTCCGACCCGTCGAGCAGTATGCTGGGATATGCCCGCTAATGCTTGCTGCGGCTTCCTGAAGCCGTTACGAAAGTAAGATACCATTTCCCACGCCATTTTGCACGAGTGTGAGGGGGTAAACAGACAGATCAAGACAAGGTAAAGCGACCGAATGAGCTGTCTAAAGTGCACTCTTCACATACATAGATTGTAGTGCATGAGAAAAGCCACCAGTATCATCAGACCCGTTTTCTTGGCCGGCGATGTTTGCCGAGGTGCGTAGTGGTTACACCCTCAAATGACCTGCCATGCAGGTATGAAACCTTTAATCAGTGAAAGCAGTCATGTAGGTTGTATCAGTCTCACTTATAACTAACATAATCGATGGTTACAGAAATTGAATTCGCTAGCTGAATGTCCCTAAATGCTGACTTGTGTCAATTATTTTCTCCTTTCTCGATCGGTTGACCACCTAGGTAGTCCGTAAGACAGTAATCAAAAGTGGTTTACAAATGCGCATGGTTAATGGCGGTGCAAATTGAAGCTGAAACTGTGGACAAGTAGTATCGATCTATTGCTTGAGTAACATTGTTCATGCAGCAGACAAACAGATTACTGATGTCGGGGTTGAACGCCACAGAACGTCTTCTTTTCCAAATCAGTTTGTCCTTTCCTCTTCCTTCTCTAGACTGATTGTTCAGCATAAGACAAACACGATAAATGGAATACAGATGAAAAAGGTCTCTGATGCTCATTGAAACTTTTACCTTGAGACCATATGTATCTGAACAAAATAACATTACTAAATTTCTCGTCTATATCCAAGTTAACAATATATCTTCCGTGTTCTAATTTTAAAAATATGGATTCACCAGAAACCTAGATATGAATGATAAACACTATCTGCCATTTGTGACAAGATTGTACGTGAAGACGGTTTGGATGAGGGTAACCGACTATAAACAAAATAAGAACTCATTTACTTTGTTAAATTACGAGGAATACATAAGAGGTTTGCTATGCACTATGTGCTACGCTTTTGAATTCTGCTGACCCACTTTCTGTGGTTCCTTGTGTTGTGCCATTGAAAACTTACAGTTATTAGAAAGACGGGTCAAAAACAATTGATTTTAACTACAAATATGCTTTGTTTCAAATAATTTGAAGGCGCGTAACTCTTTGTACTGCATTGAGTGATAATAAAGTTAGATTTCCCTACACCCTTCTTTTGTTTCCTTACCCTTTATCTGCATCCAGGGACTCTGGAACTACCACGAAAGACGATGGTTATACCCAAGTACCAAGGCCCTCTGTGTTTCACCACGGTTTACGTGGATGTGGTGGCATAGACGAAGCGGTCGGTGCCAAAGCAGCCATTATTGGAAACGAGAGTTGGTGTGCCGTGTATCGCGAAACCAACGCTACTACAGTCGACTTAACGATCCCTGTGGAGCAACAGCTGTTGGGCAGTTTGAACAAAGGGAGGATAACCTGGTATTGAACAACACAATTCAGATATTGCAATGCTATTGACCAGTCTTTGTCAGATACAGATCACCAAAATAAACACTGATAAAATTAGAACCGGATTTATACATCCGAATCTATCTGTGCGACAGTACGCTACTCTTTTTAATTGCCACACTTCATCAGTAGCCGAAATAAACCTGAAGTGAATTCAAGATTAAAATTTTGAAAACAACTGAATTCCATCTTTTTTGTTTTGCACTTGGTTGCTTTGAAAAACCAATAGAACAAATTGTTTTGGACCTCGGGACATTTCGACTAAACGAGCACATAACTGATGTAAATGCCCGAATATACTATTGTTACACGTTATATGAAGAATATTAGTGAATGAACTAGTTTGCGGGCCTAGGAACACTCGGTCTTCAAAGACGAACACCACACGCGACGCAGTCATCCCACGCCCATCTCCAAATGACCCAAACTAATCCGTATAGATGATGTTCAATGTGTGAGCAACACTCGATCTGGAAACTGGAATGTCAACTCTTTCTCTTCCAAATTTTGTCATGAGTTCTCTTCATCTACTTAAGATTTTGACAAACTGTGATGTATTATTCTGTAGATGAATCATCGCAAATCGGCTTGGTCGCTACTGGTTTTTTTTCTCACAACCTATGCTGAGTGCGTGTGCGGTACGAAAGCGTGAGTGGCGTCCAAGCGGAGGTTTGAATCTCACCAAAGTTCCTCAACTGTTCACAATTTCAATCAAATTAGATCGTTTGAAATTGCACTCAAACTTCAAGAATAACAAAAACACTACTTTGCTCAAAGGTCAAGGTTTCACTGCGGACAATGCCGTAAAATCTGTGGGTTTTCCGATCTCACAAGGTGTCCTGCACAAATAAATCGATTGATAGGGAAAAGGGAGAGAAGGAATATTATAGTTTTATGTACTTTGATGGATGTAGAAATGTAACCCAGGTGAATGCATGAAGTCTGCTTGAATTATTCAATAGTTTTCTTTTAAGTCAGTAGTTGCTAATATACTCCAAGATGGGTGAATTTTCAGCATTTCGCACCATATTTGTGGATGCAAATTTATATAATCATACAAAATGAAACTGAAAGCAGTAGATATCGTCAATATCAATGAAACAAGCAATTGCGTAATTTTGTGGAAACTTTCAGCTTATCAATAAGTAAATGTGTCAGATATGGCAAAACAGAATAACGATCTAAAGAGGTACTTGCAAATAAAAATTTGAAGCTTGAGCGTGTGAATGATGCAGATATAGATTTTGAAAATTAGTTGTATAACGAGTGACGAGGGTGTGAGAGTATTTTGGCAATAAAATTTTCACATGTATCTGGATGCCTGTCTATGATGGAGTCTGCAAGTTTATCCCTGACGAGACCACTGCATTTGGAGATATGTTTCAGAGATCTCGTAAGTAAATAAAAGTCACTGTTCAACATACCGGAGAAAATCACCGGGGAGCAGTACAACCAGTGGGGGAGCACGCATGCATTCACAAACCTAATAACCAGCTTGTATGGAACAGAAAGTATTCCCTATCAGAATATGGAAACTTTCTAACTTTATAAAATGTGTTTTGAGCATGCATTTACCATGATAAGTTGTGTGATAGTACGACGCCAAGTTATTTCATTGTTGATGTCGGTACGGGTTCA